TATGAGAAAGACTTTTTTTTCAAAATGTATTCATTTGCTCCTTTTGATTTTTTTTATCACAATAGAAATATGAATAAGTTACATTCCTTAAAAAATTATAACAGTCTTAACCAAGAAATTCACCTTCTAGGAGTTTATGCTAAAGAAATACCTGTCCAGGGTGCCTGGGTGGCTCAGTTGGTTAAGCGACTGCCTTAGGCTCAGGTCATGATCCTGGAGTCCTGGGATCGAGTCCCACATCGGGCTCCCTGCTCAGCAGGGAGTCTGCTTCTCCCCCTGACCCTCCCCACTCTCATGCTCTCTCTATCTCGTTCTCTCTCTCAAATAAATAAATAAAATCTTTAGAAAAAAAATAAAAAAAAAAGAAATACCTGTCCATAGGCAAAATGATGTAGGTATAGGGATATCTTATAGGGATATCTAGCAAAAGATTGGAAACCACTTAAATATCCATTTACCTGGCATTGGTAAAATAATACATGTATATTCCCAGAACGAAATAGTATGCAACCAGAAAAAAATTATTTAAAAGCCTTATATGTACTGATACAAAACCATCTCCAAAGTAAGTTGTTAAGGGAAAATAAACAAGAAACATGCATATGTGTGTTCACATTTGCTTGTATATGCGTAGATTATCTCTGGGAGAAAATACAAACATTTTATAAATCAGTTTAGCCTGGAAGAACTGGATGGCAGGAGAACAGGGATATGACAGAAATTATTCTCTGTATACAATTTCGTACCTTTTGAATTTTGATCTATGTGAATATGTTACCTTTGAAAACCAAATTGAATTACAATTTTTGAAAATGTGGGGCATTTTTAAATAACCTAGGTTATTTTCATCTCGATTCTTTCTTTTTTCTCTATCGCAAAGCCAGTATGAGATCTTTCATCTAATAATAACACTCTGGTTGTAGTTCTGCAATGCTTAAGAAATAAAATCTGTTACTCCTGCTGGGATCAGAACAGTTGTCAGCATACGTGGGCAGCAGTGGGTGAAGAGCTTTTGAATTTAAGGCATATAAACTAAATACCAAAGTTGAATGTATTATAACATCATTGTTGATACAGGAGAAATTTTATATTAATGACATGTATAAAGACGTCAGTGGTGTACTTCTCTGCAAAACAGATGAGGACAAGACTATATACCAGCTTTATGCTATCCATTCCATCATGACAGACAAGGCATATGAAAAGAGAGGGATAAATGGAACTCCAGACTGGATTTCAAAGCTGTGTCTGGGCCCCTTTTCAATGGCATGACTTACTGGGATGCATAAAGGGGCATATTTTCTGACTCTCCCTTTCTCTTGCATGTGTTTACAAAATCATTATGCACATTAAAAAATTCAGGCATGAACTTAACTTCACAGAAGACTTTTTAAAATGCTATAAATAACTAATTTTCAGGAAATTAAGTGGGTCGTGTGTGCTCTTAAGCCCCTGATGGAACATGATAAAGATGAGGTGCAGAGGTGAAGGGCCGTGCCCAAGCATTAATCCATTTGTATCGAAAATCTGTGTTCACTGACCCCACCATTGTCTCCATCTCATTACCATCTCTCTCCACCCAGATTCATCTATGACCAGAAATATTTGATGAAATTATAGAATTGTTAAAGAAGCATATCTCACAAGCCTTTTGATCATTTTGTGAACATTTACTTTCCTAAACAAAATAGATTTTCAAGGACATCACTGCTTCTACTGTGGTGCCATCTGTCTCAATATTGAAAATTTGCGTAATCTTTAAATGGGTAAATTAAAAATGGAATCGGTTTAGCATGGCAAGTGACTTTAATGGCACCTCTTTTTTTTTTTAAAGATTTTATTTATTTATTTGAGACAGAATGAGAGAGAGAGAGAGCTCATGAGAGGGGGGAGGGTCAGAGGGAGAAGCAGACTCTTCGCTGAGCAAGGAGCCCGATGTGGGACTTGATCCCGGGACTCCAGGATCATGACCTGAGCCGAAGGCAGTCGCTTAACGGACTGAGCCACCCAGGCGCCCCTTAATGGCACCTCTTAACCAAATGACTATCTATTAGCTTTGAAAACCTAAGTTGCCAAAGGAATGGTGCAACTTTTCAAAAGAAATCCTGAGGACAATGAACAGGCAGAAAGAAGGAAAGGAAGATTTTTTATGGGAGGTTCTGGCAGAGCACTGGTCATGGGCCAGCACTCTTTAGAAAGACGGCCAGGGTGGTGCTAGGAGAACCAGACCAGAGCAAGGTAGCAACTGGCGACAGGAGACAACGTAGGCGGCTGTCGCCAAAATCCAGGTAAAAAATGATGAAAGCTGAAGCAAGAGGGAAGAAATCGCCAGATTTGAGAAGAGTAGGGGAGGCATGGCAATGCAGTATTTAAAGGTAGAAGGGACAAGAAGCTCTGATTCCTTTGACAAAGAAGGGTCCCAGCTCCCAACACCCTGCCCCCCAGCTCTCACCCCCATGTCTGCTCCTGAGTCATCTGCTCTTCCACAGCCCTTTCAGAAGCCTTGTTATCCATGCTCTTTCTCAGACCATTACTCATTTCCCTGCTACTGCCAAAAGTTGGGACCACAACACAATGGCCTTGGGGAGGTGCGACGTACAGAAGGTTATACTTGCTGATGTTGTTCTTTTCCTTGATTGTCCCACACACCACCACCCTAGTCCGTACAGGTGTTAAGAACAACTAAAGGTTAGAAACAAATGAAGAGAATTACAACAGAAAGGTTAAAAACTGTTCACAAAATAAAACTTCCCAATAGTTCAGAGGATGGGACCACAACACAATGGCCTTGGGGAGGTGCGATATACAGAAGGTTATACTTGCTGATGTTGTTCTTTTCCTTGATTGTCCCACAGACCACCACCCTAGTCCGTACAGGTGTTAAGAACAACTAAAGGTTAGAAACAAATGAAGAGAATTACAACAGAAAGGTTAAAAACTGTTCACAAAATAAAACTTCCCAATAGTTCAGAGGATAAGAGCAATAAAGAACTTAATGTAAAATATTTACATAGAGATCCCTAAGAGCATACCCTGATTCCTAGCCTCGCTCCTTGTCTCAAGGTCCACTGTTGTTCACTTTTATCTTGGACTGCACCTTCCTTCATTGCTCTACAATTATATATCTTCACTGCCTTATACCCTATTCATGGTAGTTTAATCTCATGGAGGGTTCATCCCTCTTTCCCAACCAGTGCAACCCACAGGATATTATTTGCAGCAATACTTTTCCCAAAGGCTGAGTCAAGTAACACAGGTCTCTAATAGCATAGCCTCTGGAGCGTTTGCATTTCAATTTCTGCCTATCTGTAGCAGTGAAGATTTGCCACCTCATTCTTCTTGATCATCTATTGGATTCTACACAAACATATCCCCCAAGGGCAAATAATAATTATCAAAGACAATTCACATTAAAAAAAGAAACATTTCCCCAAATATAATGTGTACTGAGTCTACCCTAAATGGAGATAACTGGCTATATTTTTATGCAGAGTTATGTCAATTCCCACTTCGTTCATCCTCCTGCTTCTAACCATGCCCAGATTCCTATAGGTCTATAAGAAACAGGATGCATTACTGTAACCTTTTCAAGTGACAGCAACTCCCTTCCTACACAAAGATGTTGAAATCATGATATTATTAAAGAGTATGGATATGAATGTGTGTGCATGTGTGTGTGTGTGTGCGTGTATTTGTATAAAGTGGGTGGAGGGTCTTTTTCCAACCATAATTAGCTTGGCTCTGTTAAGTATCTGATTTCATGTGCTATTTGAACTGATGTTTTCATTCTTGGCTATAATAAAATATTATCTAATCACAAATATTGTGTAGGTCTGAGGAGCAAACAGATATGCATAGGAAGTAAAACACTTAAAGAGAATGGAAAAATCTTAAATTTAAAAGAGAGAAGAAAGGTAGCCAAATTTAAAGAACAAGAATTCTCAAACTTTGCAATATATTGCTATATTTATGCAAAAATAAAATAAAGAATGCTATCATATAATGAGTCCAAATGAAATTTAACATTCCATTCTCTTAGAATTTATAACTTTGCAATTCCCATTATTGTGACAAATATTTTGATCACAAGGATTAAGTGAACTCTAAGGTCCCAGCTATAAAAATGTACAACTCTTTCTACATTCATTCATTTCATGTAGTCAATTATTTCCACTATTCACAAAAGAACTGTTGATAGTTTAATGATCAGGTCCCTAAAAATTCCAAGAAGAATTAGAGAGAATGCCTGCCCTCATGGAACTCAATCCAGTAGGGGAGAGAGAGAAATAAGCAACTGCGTATAAGTCACAATAGAAGGATGTACAGAATGTGACACAGTAAGTGATCAATTTCAGAGTGTGGGGGCAGAAAGCGTGAGGAGCAGGGCAGTGTTGGTATCAAGTAAAATTTCACAGAGGCTAGGGCATACAAGCTGAATCTTGAAGGGTAGATAGTATGAGAAGTCCCTTCCAGCCTGAGGAAAGAATTTGTGCAAAGTTACTAATACATGAAGGAGCATGGACAATTTGGGGAACTATTTTTAGTTGGCTAGGACTAGATGTTAGAGGTAGGGTATAGCAATAAAGAGATGGGAGATATACAGGGACCAAAGGCTATTATGTTTCATGTCTCCTGCTTTGACCATTGAATTCTATGTTGTGCTGATGGAAAGGTTTAACATCTCTGGGGCAAGAAGAGTTTCATCCTCCCTGGAAGTTTAATCAACAATGGGCACTCTCACTTGATTTTGACATGCCACTTCCTATGTGATAATACTAAGTTCCCCCTTGTTCTGCCCAGTAGCAGTAGCAGAATAAATTGGTATCATATGGTATGCATCCACTCTTAGTCATCGGGTAAGTTCTGTACTTATTATGTCCCAGCACTAAGGCCTTAAAAAGGTATTAGGGACAAGTGTATCAGTTAGGACTCTTTCCAATGCAATTGACAGAAAATTCAATCCTAACTGACTTTGGCTAAAAGAGAACTGATTTACTCACATAACTTGAGAATCTGATGATAGGTTTAGCTCCAAGAATAGCTTGATCCAGGCTCAAATGTCTTCAGCACCCAATTTTTCCTTCTTCATCTCTTGGATCCACTTTGTCTGTGTTGGCTCTATCCTCCAGCAGACTCTTGATGTGTGGTGGCAGTTTACATCTCTCCATGTTGAAGTGCAGAGAACAAAAAAAAAAGAGAGAGATGCTTCCTGGTGGCTCCCACACAAGTCCTGACCATTCACTGTGGCTACCTGGGTGTTAATGGTCAATGGAAAGAAGAACTAGTATAATTCCTGGTACAGATGAGTGAGTCTAGTGGCATTTGCGCAATGATTCCTCTTCCATGATGCACCTGGATGCTAGAAGCATGACCTTATAGACTTCTCTGCCAACTCCTGGTTCTCTTCTTGGGCGACTCCTCCAGTATCAGCTCCCAGTTCCGTGTTTCTCCTCAGGAAATGCTGATCATTCTCTGTTTCTCTCTCCCCTTGTATGTGCCCAGGAAAATCCTTCTTCCAGTTTCAAGGAAATCCTTTCCCTTTTGAAGCTTTTTCAAGATACTTAGGCAGTGTCCTGGAATTTTTTCCCCTTGAAATTTCAGGATTTTATAAAACAAAGCCAAAAATACTTATAGATCACTTTTGTTTGCCCTTCCTTTGGCCTCTTCCTAGCTATGAACAATGAACAGCCAGAAGGAGACCTGCTTACAGGGGTGGGGAGGGAGAAGAGCAGCAGTAGTGGAAAATACAGGGAGGAAAAAAAATGTAGAGTTAATTTAGATCTTGAAATATTATCTCTCCAAGGATCCACATATATGATATTTCAAATTAATAATACAGAAAGCTTTTTTCTTTCTTTCTTTCTTCTCTCTCTTTCATATTCTCTCTCTCTCTCTCTCTAAAATACAAGGGGACGGAGATACCACTGAAAAGCTGGTGAATGAGTGGGCCTTATAGAAGATATGTGACGTAAATTAAACCTTAATAGGTATTATACGCTACCCTTCTTCTTAGCATGGAATTTATGTATCAGGCTCAGCTAAGTATTAGCCCTGTTCTGACTAATGAACAGTAAAAAATTTTAAAACAAAATTTTAAGAAATTTTAAAAAATTTTTCTGAGGACTGAATCCTTTATTAGCACTTCTAAATAACACAATAAAAAAATAATTCCTAGGGGTGCCTGGGTGGCTCAGTTGGTTAAGCGTTTGCCTTCAGCTCAGGTCATGATCTCAGGACCCTGGGATCCAGCCCCACATTAGACTCCCTGATCAGTGAGGAGTCCAATTCTCCCTCTCCCTCTGCCCCTCCCCACTCCCATTTGTGCTCTCTCTCAAGAAAAAAAAAAAAAAAAACATTTAAAAAATAATAATTTCTAGCAAAATAAAATCAAGGAATAATAGATTTTCCATGTATGTCAGCCAATAGTGCCTTTCAAGAGGATGTATGTAGTCAGGCTCCAACCTGGAAAACAGAAACTGCTCTGAGTACTCAACACAGGGAGAATTTAATTGAAGTAATTTGTAAAACAGGTGACAGAAGGGCTGAGAAAAAGAGGAGAGTGATTTTTCAACAGGATAAAGCCACTACAACCCAAATGCTGGGGGAATAAAAGGAAAAGGAAAAGGAAAAGGCAGTATTACTGGAGCCTAGGGTCAGAGGTCCTGGGGCACTTGGCAGGAATTAGAGCTTGGGGGGCAGGGTGGGACATCCTCCTGCTCTGGCTTTCCACTGGTCACACCCAGCTGGCAGGCAGCTCCTAAGAAAGGGAGGGAAACCACAGCTGGCTGGATCAGCCCCCCTGTGCTAAAGACCAGAGAAAGGTTTGAAAAAACCAGGAATGGATCCAAGGGCAATAAAGCCTAGGACCCTGAACCCTCACAAGGAATTTGTTAAAACTCACTGTTCACAAATCCTGGTTTGATGTTGTAATTTATACTGAAAGAAAAAAGTTGTTTGCAATGGATCCCCATCAGCGAGTTACCAAAGTCTGTGCACTTGGGGGTGAACCATTAAAATCAGGACAACCTGGGGTGCCTGGGTGGCTCAGTCGGTTAAGCCTCTGACTCTTGATTTTTGTCTCAGGTTGTGATCTCAGGGTTGTGAGATAGAGCCCTGCATCAGGCTCCGCACTCCCTCTCTCTGCCCCTTCCCCCCTGCTCAGTCTAAAAAATAAAAGATAAAATCAGGACAACCTTGTCAGAAGGGCTGGCTATGTATGTGTGTGCATATTTTAAATTATGTTGGGATTCCTATTGATTTTGCTCAAGTTTTTTAAAAAAAGTTTTTTATAAGAACACAGCCTGCCTTATTTTTTGGTCTTTTAAATGCAGAAAACTCCTAGGTCTATAACCTTCGTTGTTCCTTTCCTTTCATTTGGAATGCTGAGAATCCCTCATCACTTTTCTTGCTAACCTTCTATTTATCCATTTGAAAGTTGCTGAGATTTGCTTATACTATAACTTCAATGATATTTTCTGAAATGAATTCTATCACCAAAACTATACTGCATAGGATATGGCAAATATTTGTGCTCCTTCTTTTGAAGCCTCAACCTGGCTGGCACCGCTCTCTAAATAGAGAGCAGGATTAACTGAGTAATAGGCAAGAGTCACAGAAGTTTCTTTAATAAATTCTTCAATACTGTTACTGTGAGGAGTCTTTTAAAAGGATTTAACCTCAGGTAGAGAGAAACGTCAGAAATATTGAGAAATGTCCATATTCTAAAATATCCGCTATGTTTAAAAAATTGTAACAAGCTTTATGCTATCAAGGAGATCCAGTGAAAGATATTCCATATTTCCAGTCTCCTATTTCACAAATTTCAATGTGGTTGTTTTGGGGTTTTTGTTTTTGTTTTTGTTTTTGTTTTTCCTTTTGTTTTACGGAAACTGGTTGTTTCACTGTATTTCTCCTGGGTTCCAGAGCTAAGCTCCTGCACCTCTCCACCTCATACAATTTGGACATGTTTCAGTTTTAGCCTAATTCTCATCCTGTTAAATTTTTAAGGGTAAGGATAATGGAGAATGGAACTTATCACATTAAAAAAGGATAAGAAAGAAGCAAAAGAGCTTTAATTTAAAACTATGTGAGAAGCTGAAAGTTTTAGGAAAGTCGTAGTGAAAGAAAAATACCTCTTTGTAAGCTGCAGGAGAAAGAATTTCAAGACAAAATTAAATTAGAGATATGAAACATTTTACGGGAAGGAGAGACAGATGTGCTTTTGGAACCGGGAAAATACTGGTTAACTTTTAGTTGTGATCACACTTTGATGGTGTCTATGTGAAGCAAATGTTTTGGCTCTAAACTTGTTTCTGCCTTTTTTATGTTTCCTGTCTTCACCAACATGGAGACAGAAGATTAAGGCAGATTCTGACAATGATGAGGGTCAATCAGGAGTCTTTGCCTGTCTCATAAACACCATCCACTGATAATTCCATGTCTTTCAACTGAAAACCTCCTCCTGAAAACTATATAAGCTAGATTTGGGGGCAAAGTTGGAGAAAAGTGATCCTAGTACATTTTGCTACTCATAATTCATTCACTCGGGTGAGAGATCATGGTGTTGGAAAGGCCCTAAGACATCATCAGACTGTAATTATGTCTGCTGTCATGTAAATGAAGCATATAGTGACAACTATTTTTTCCTTTTAAGATAGTTTAAATGATATAGTTGAATTCATTCTTTTTCTGAAGTGGCCCTAATATGTTTTCTTTTTGAAAAATGTACAAAGTAAAAAATTGTCAGAAGACCAAATTATTGTATATTTGGTTATTCTTTTCCCATGAGACACAGGTACTCATATTACTAACTTTATGTACCTGAACACAATTATGCCCTTTAGCATCCTAGAATGTTAGTGTTGAAACGATCTTAGAAGCCATAATTTCTCCATTTGGAAGATAAGGAAACTGAGGCAGAGGGCGAGGCTGTAATTTCCGCAAGGTGGCACAAACAGGACCTAATTAAAACCCAAATTTCCTAGTCTTCCAACTCCCAGCAGAGTGAACCCCTTCACTACCTCATTTTGTCTTGATTGTGAATCAACAACCATTTCCTTAGCCCTTTTAATGCTCTACCCATGCCAGGGCACTTAAAAACTTTATTTCCGTCTGTAAATTATGTATCAGCGTCCCAGAAAATTTGTTCATTTTTCTGAGACATTTTGCTAAGGAAGAGATACTGTCTTACTAGTTCATTAATTGATAGTTACAAGAAAACAGACTACCTTCTGCTGTATAGGAACACCTTAATGGGTAGGAGGAGTGTTGCGGTGTGGGAAAGCCTGGCCTAAGTATGAAAGCTTGAACAGGAAGTCCCTACAAAAAATTGTACCTATCAAGAAAGCCCCTTTTAAGTGTAAGCCTTGCTGAAACTCCAAAACGTTGAACTATGGTAGAGTTTTGGAAAATTCAAATGTGCCACGTTCAAGACCTGTGCGGGGTTCAAGGCCAAAAAGGTATATGCAAAATGCTCTGAGACTGAGAGCATGAGTCCTGAAAGCCAGGGCCACTGCTGTTTCTTACTGGGCACCCTTTATACAACTTCCCAAATTCAAACAGTAATACAGCCCTGGCTCCACAAAAAACCTAAACAAATAATCCTGGTGGAGTCTGAAGAAAGGAAGGACATGATGATCCATATATAGAGAAGGATGTAGGCGGAACTCTAGGAGATGCGAACACACGCGTATACTTTAAAATATGCTACATCAGAACACTTAAGATGGAAGGTTTTTGTTTGGTCTTGAACCGAGGATTTGCCACCACAAACATCCTACCTGTACTAGAACGGGTGTGGGAGAGCGGAGAAAGCCTCCAGAGGTAGAAACCGGGCCGGGAGTAAGTAACACAGCGACCCCTTCACTAAACTCGGGGGCCGGGCTCGCCTCGGCCCTTCCCACCCGCGAGCGGCGCTCGGAACAGGGCGGGCCGGGGCGGGGAAAGCCGAGCGCGGCGGGAAGGGCCCGCGGCGGCCGGGGGAGGGCGGAGGGAGGCCGGGGGGGCGGGCGGGCGGGCGGCTTTATTGTTTCCGCGCGCCCTCCTCCTCCCGCGCCCTGCCCGGCGTCACTGGAAAGCCGCCCGAGCCGCCCGGCGGCGGCGGGTTATTTATAGAGCTGGCTGCGCGCGCGTCACGGAGCCCGGCCCGGCTGACGGGGCCGCTGACGCGCTTGGCCGCGGGGCCGAGTCCGCGGGGCTGCGCGCCGGGCGCCGGCGACAATGGGCTTCTGTGTGTGCAGCTGCCGCCGCCGCTGGGGGTCGGGGGAGGGGGGCAGGCGGCCGCTCCCTGACCCCCTCCCTCCGGCCCTCGACCCTCCGAAAGGTAACCGGCCTCTTCTGCCCTTGGCCGGGACAGCACCCCCCCTCCCAAACCAGCAGCTTCTACCTTTTTTTTTTTTTTAATTTTACCAGTAAGTTTCGCTGGGCCCAGCCTCCCCGCTTCCACTGCCCCCGTTCCCCCCTCTCCCCCCAACATGACGAGAGAGGGGGATTTAGCCGGCCCGGGGCGGCCACTGTGTGCGTCCCGGGGAGCGGGACCCGCACAAGGCGCGCCAGCGGGGGATGCGGTCACCGAGGGGCCGGGAGCGCCGGGCAGGTAACGTATCCTGGACCTGGAGCGGGGCTTTGTGTGGGTGGGGGGAGGGGAGCAGGGGTGGGTGCGAGCGCCGGGCGGCCCCGCCGGGACTGTGGTCTCCCGGCTCCTCCGCCCCGCTGGCCGAGCGCACGAAGCCGATCTGGGGTGTAACGCCAAGAGCGAAAAGAGAAACTTCGGCGTGACTGACTAGCTGAGGCTCCTCCCGAGAGAACAAGATGAGAGAGGACTCCCCCCGCCCCTCCCTGCGGGTTCTGGCCTGGTACGCCCCACCCTGCGGAAGGAGGGGCTGGCGGGGCTTTTAGGGACTTCCTGGGATGCGGAGACCGGCTCTGAACCAGCCCCTCTCAGCTGCCCGGAGCTGGGAAAGCTTGCTCTGGAGCCTCTCGCACGTGGCAGGCAGGCAGAAAACTTGCTGTGCCTTCTAGGAAATTGCAATCGATTTGTAATGCAGTTTCGCTAATTGGGAGTTCAAAATTAAACTTTAATAAAGCATTTGTGTCGTCTCGTGTAATTGTGAAAGCTTCCATCCGTCCTGGTAGATAGACTCTAAGTCTCAAGTTAATGGCGCTAAGCTAGATTCCCCCCCCCCCCCCCCCCCGCCCCAGTACAATTCCGTCAGCCCTCGTCGGCGCAGCTGGATTTCCGTAAGGTACAGATGTTGCTAATGGCAGCTTAAGCACGGATGGGCAGATAGCATACGGAATGCAACATGTTGCCATATGGTTCCTTTAGCCTTTCACCTTCAGGGATATCAATCACATATATTCTGGGAGGAACTTAATGACTCTCCGAACGGCAAAATGAATTACCTGGTACAATTTATATCCCTTGACCTGATACGTTATAACAACAGGGAGATAGCATCTCAGTTTCTGTGGTATAAATTGAGCTACAGAGCTACATTTCAAATTCTGTAACATCTATTTGTGGTTTGAGGGGCCCTGTCAAATCATTCTGGCTGTAAAATCTGGTTTCTGTATTGCTTTCCTCCTCCCCCCCCGTTCAGAAGAACGATACAAAGTTTTTAAAGTTTAGCAAAACTGTTGTCTTAGAAATTGCCAGTCAGCCAACCAAATACTAATTAATGAGACTATGGAGAAATGGAAAATATGATTTCCAATGCTAGTTACTTAAGAATTAGTAATATTTAGGAACACCATACTTTGGGATCCAGAAAATTAAAGTACTCCTATAAGAAATATGTGTTCTGTGAGTTGTTTCTATATAACTCCTAAGCCCATTAACTATTTGAAATTCTTTTTTTAAAATAAACTTTATTCTTAAATGTAAGAAAGTAACTTATAGGAAACAGTCCTCAGAAATATGAAATATAAGAAATATAAGGAGCCAAACAATTCTATACACAACACTCCCCCCCCCCCCCCACACACACACCATGTGTGTACTTGGATCATCCATGTGGTGGTACTGGTCATTTGTTTTTCTCCCCCCAATATGTTAATGACAGCATACTGAAGTCACTGTTTAGATCCCAGTGGAATGTTTCTGTAATATTTCACAGGTCTTACTTTAAATATCGGTGACTAATAAAATGGTTGATTGCCTCTAATTTCAGGTTATACACATGGTTGTCTCTTAGTGTATCCCTCCTTTTTCTTCCACTAATGCGGAGAGGCAACACTGGTAAACAAAAAATAAGGGTAAAAAAAAAGTAAATAACTTATGAAAAAAAAGTTTTTATTGTTACCTATTAAGTGATATCTGAAAGCTATGGATGTACTATCGTTTAAAAGATTTTGCTTCCAACAATGTGTAAACCACATTAATTCATGTGAACTGATAGGACTAACAAAATATACAAAACAGACCTAAACAATCTAAACAAGTACATATTTTCAGTCATGTCAAGTTTCAGAAAGTTAACATTCTGGAAGTTTGTCTATAGATCATGTCCTTTCAGAATTATTTTGAAATCACAGGATAATATTTCTCTTTTTTTTCCCCCCTCCTCTTGAAATGGGTGATGATGTGTTACCTAGTGCTTGGGTTAGTGTGATCATGTTGGTAATTATTATCAAATAATATAAGACCTTTTGTGTATTTATATAGCAGAAAATCTTATACAGAACACATTAAGCTATATATCTGAGTTACGGCAACCGTTGCTGGGGGCTGTTTTTGGTAATCTTTTAACGGCTAAGGTTTTCTCTCTCACCAGTACTCAATGTGTTTTAACCCTGATCAGAAGTGAGCTTGTCAATAATGACTCCATCTCCATGACTTTTGAATAGGCAGTGAGTGTGTCCTTTAATCAGCCACACAGAACTCGCCTTATAAAGCTGTTATTGTCATGAGCAGATATTGCAGCCTTTTGTTAGGCCCCATGATTATTAACGTGTTCCTCCTTCAAAAGCCAGGCTGAAAGTCCTGCTGTGCTTCATTTCAGAATTCAAGTCCATTAGTAAATAAAATCCTAAGCAGCACTATTTGCTTTTTCTCAAGTTATAACATTACATATAGTTCATGAATAATTTCGGGCCCTTTTGTAGACATAAACTATGTATATTTTTGGTGTACATATACAGTAATAAAAACGATATGTATCTTGCATCATGACTTTTATTTTAAACGAAGATTTGATGAATGTCCATTGTTACTCTAAATGAAGTGGCTGGCTGCCAAGTCGATCCCTATAGCTGGAAAGTACTAGCATTGTTATTGTCTACCAGGGAATCACTTCCTATTTTTTGAGCTCTCAACTTCACCTCCCTCTTTCAATATTGCCCTTCCATATTGCTAATCTGAGATTTAGTTTGGAAATGAAAACTTTTGAAAATGTATTTGTATTGCCAAGAAGATTTTCACCACTGTTTCTGGTTGCCTGCTGGTTTACAGCCTTTATCTTGAGCTGGCATGTTTATTTTAACTGAAAATGAAGAAATACTCTTAGGACAGGGTATATTCCCCATGCTCTATGTAATTTTAATTGTGATGTAATCCTAGCTGCTTTCTTATTTTTTACTCATGAATGCATTTTAGAATATGTAAGATAGGGAAGATTGATGTGTTTCTCATGGTAACATGGGACAAGTTATGGATAGGCATTAGGCCTCTAATAGAACTCTGCATTCAAGTGACTGGGGATGGGGAGGAGAGCCATCAGGAAAGAGTATATAGTCCCACTGCACTGGCCCTGTTTGGTTTTCAAATTTAGAATCTACATTGCTGCATTGGAAACTTGTTTCCCTCTTTTATAGCATTTCATTTTTAAAGAATTCTTTAAAAACTGTCAATCTGTAAATATTTAACCAGCCAAACAGGAAACAGTCTTTTATTCTCAGCTATATGCAGCTTTGTTTTTATCTGGGTGAGTGTGAGTGCCATGTAAATACCACATAAAAATTTGACTTGGTTTTCCTTACTTTGACTGAAGATTGACAGGGGCTTCTTTAATTAATCTTGTTCTCTTTCATGTTCTGTATTCAGATATTGAAATACAGTATTTTTATACATTTATAAGATTGTGTTTGCATTTATTTAATTTATGTTTCTTTTTTTAAAGCATGTAGCCTTGAATGTTTGTTCTACTTTTTTTTTTTTTCCTTCACATCATTACTCTGGTACTGCTTGATGTAACTTGATTAGCTCCCTCCCCAGTCATGATTGGTAATTAAAATAGGCATTAAAATTAGTCACTTAGCAATTTTGCTGTTCAATTGGCAATTAAATTACTTAATTGCAATTAAAGTCCTAATTTTAATTGGCAAAATGATAGATGTAGATTTAAGATAATATGTATAAATACTTTAATAAGTGTCTATATAAGGATTACTTAATTACTCAACTTCAAGTTTATGCTGTTAACTTTAGAACTTTTAAGTGAGCAATGAAATTTATATTACATCTATTCAAAGGATATGGTAATTAGATTTATTACTTATCACTATAAGGGTCCTTGCTATAAGTTACTTTTGTAGTGTTAAAATTGTAGACTTGATAATTGCAGAATTATGATGAGGAAAAGGGCATATATGTCTTTGTCATAATATATCAGTGCAGGATCTTCATTTTTTATTAAATCGAGAGGTTCCTATCCACCAGTTAGTCTGAGGAAAAAATCAAAAAGTGGTTATTTTATCATTAAAAGTAGAACAAAAACTAGCCAGCTATGATATAAATACAAAAACTATTGCCAAGTGTATGTATTTTATCTACTTAAAATGCTATATAATACTGTGATAGTTACTAAGGTTATTAGCTACTTTTAGAATTCCAAGTGTCCTTGATATTTTCTTTGCATATAGCAACTTATTTTCAGAATCTTTAAAAGGTCTCTAGGACTTTGTACAATTTAATGACCAACATGTTTACTGAAATTAGCAACGAAATCTAAAACCAAAGTCCCTTACTTGCTTGATCAAAAAGAATTCTTACATAGAAAATATTGGTGGTTGCTAGAGGCTGGGAGAAGGGGAGAATGGACAGTTATTGTTTAATGGGTATAGAGTTTCAGTTTTATAAGATGAAGAGTTATGGAGATGGATAGTGGTGGTGGGTACACAACAATGTTAATGTATTTACTATCACTGAACAGTATACTTAAAAATGGTTAAGATGGTAAATTTTATGTTATGTGTATTTTACCACACACACAAGAAGAAAATAATTAAGTGGTTAGTTTAAAAGCTAATGTTTAGGAGATGGTTACTGAGAGTCAAGCATTAGAGAGAAGATGAAGGATTTTTATTATGCAAAATACTTTTTGAGTGGCATGAGGCTTTACCATATGTTCGGTTTTATAATTTTAATTTGCAAGTAGATGCTTCTAGAAAAAAAAGAGTGCTGTTTTCTGCACATCTTTACACATTTCTAGAACTGAGTTCTGAATTGAAGTAAGAAATAATTTTGCATTTAGTGTTTTTTGGTTAAAAAAATGGGCTGAATAAAACTGCGTAAAAGCCACAGCTACCCAAAATGTGAATATCAGGTAAGCAATGGACTTGTTTTGTAAGCATCTTATAGTAAAGGAACAAATGGTTGGTCAATTAATATTCTATTAATGCAAATGAAATGGCAAAAGGAAAAAAAACCCAAAACCTTCAACATTAAGAACTGATTTTGTAGTTCCATAACTGAGTTTTTTTTTCAAAGTGAAAATTTCTATCACTAATGTAAAATTTCCTGCTGGTGGCAACAAATGCCATGAATGTAAATTTATCCAAATATAACTTAAATATGTATCTCATTTTAATGTTTAAGATAGTTTCCATTAAGTAATTTTGTTAGGAAGTATCTTAAAGTTACCTCAACTCTTGCAGTAAAACAGTTATGTCTATTCACTATATCTGAATTGGT